TTTTTTTTTTTTTTTTGGTGAAAATACACATAGCCAAAGATACACCATTGCAAAAATTTCTACATGCACAGTTCAGTGACATTGACTATGCTCTTCCAATTTGTTCCCTATTCTTGTTTTCTTATCATTCAGGGCCAAAAAAATATAAATATATGATTTGTTCAGCCTTGTCTCAGCTGGATGTCTATATTTACCCAATCTTAAAGTGTTCCTTTTATTATCGTTAAACTATTTTTTAATCCTTTAGTTCCATTTGGCGCTAGCATCTGTCTGTTGCATCATTTGTGTTTATAAAATTCTGTCTGATGTACTTGTTTAAAAACTAATTTGATTGTCGTAGATTGCAGCTTTTGAAAAAATCGATATCCTCACCTGAATTATCACCATGAGGACAAAGCAGTAAAGTAGATTTCTTTGTTTTCTCATTCCATTTAAAGGATCCATACTAACTTTAGAGAAAAGTAATGAACATCCTATAAGTAAGAATCCAGAAAGCCTTTCTGCTGACAAGTTCCAAGTATCTCCGGATAGTGCCACTAGTAAAAATAAAGAACTAGGAATGGAAAGGTAAGAAATGTTAAGTTGTGATATATTAAGTAATGCCTTTACTTATATTGAACTCTTATTGTTAACTTTTTTCCACCATATTTTCTCCAGTTTTATGTACACAGACATTAACCTCTCATTGCTTTAGGAGACTTCTTTTGTTTCATTACATATAAGCTTTTTGTTTTTTTCAGGACCATACCATAAGTTACAACATGAGAAATGCACAGTTAGAAAGATCTGTCCGTTGTGAATATCAGAATAAAATATTATAGAACTAAAACCTGAACGGAGCTCTAGTGGCACAGTGGTTAAGAGCTACAGCTGCTAACCAAAAGGTCGGCAGTTCAGATCCACCAGCCACTCCTTGAAACCCTGTGGAGCAGTTCTACTCTGTCCTATAGAGTCACTATGATTCAGCATCCACTCGACGGCAACAGGTTTTTTTGTTTGTTTGTTTGAAAACCTGAAAAAACCTGGAGCCAGTTGTTAGATATCTCCAAGGCAGCCCTTCCCCTAATTGAAGTTTTTGCCTTTCTAGAAAAAGTTTAGTTGATTTACCCCAGGAAGTATTCAGAATATCTTTCAGGAATGGCTGTTCAAATCACTGTTGATATTAGACTCTATAATACTTTATATTTCTAAAAGTACTTTATCTGCTTCCTCATTTGATCTGTTTACAACACTGTGAAGGTAAAAGGATGAGTTCTAGACTATTGATCCTCTGCAATAGTTCAGGAAACAGAGAAGCAAAGCTATTAGGGTCACACATCTCACAACTCTAGGAAGGAAAACGAACTCCTGTTTTTTGAGTCCCTAGTAAGTATATGTATATTTACTTATCTTTCTGGGAATCGTGACAGGCTGACAATAATCTAATCACATTATCTTTTCCAAGCCCCTTGGACTGGACTGAGGATACATTTTTTAGGCTGGTGTAATGGCGTTGTGACTGTCGCAGAGAATGAAAAGATCTAGCCTCCATAAACACTAAGCCCATGTTTAGAGGTAATGGCCTCATTAAATTGAGCTAACCACCTACTGACTGTTCAGACTAAATTTTCCTGTCCCCCACACCTCACACAGAATATACCCTGTAGAGATTTCTATCATAGAACCTACACATTGATTGAACATTCTTCCTCTACTAGTCGACTTGATGTCAGCAAGTCAGGTCTTGCTCAATCCACTGGGCCTTGCTCAGTGCCTGATTCATAGTAAGTACCCAATTATTATTTGAATTAATTAATTAATCTCTGAGGCCCTTTAAATCTATTGATGAGTATTTTATTCTGCAAAGTCCTAAATACTTGAAAGGGTAGAGGAATTACTAGCTGCATCTGCTCTTCTAACTTAATGTTTTATAACTGGCTTTGTTTTTAGAAGGACTCTGGACATTTAAAAGGCAGGGAATTGGATAATTCTATTTATTCTGCTAAAATTGGGTAGAAAGAATAAGTGTAGAGATGTTAGAATTAATCAACTTTCTGTTTTCATGAGAAGTCTGAGTTTAGCACATCCGTTTGAATTCAAGTAGAATAAAAACCAAACCCATTGCCATCGAGTCCATTCCGACCCATAGCGACCCTATAGGACAAAGTAGAACTGCCCCAAGGAGTGACTGGTAGATTCGAACCGCTGACCAAGTGGGATAGTGTATAAAATTTGTGTGAATGACAGTGGATAATTTGGTGAATAATTTGGTGAAATTTGCTGACAGGCTTTTAAACAGCTAGGAGATATACTGCCTCAAACCAGCCCTTAAGGGAAGGCCTGATACGTTGGCAGGGATTATGAATCCAGGCTTCTAAGCCATCACATTGGCTTTTTTTTTTGCTAGTCATTCCTAATCTCTCTCCAACAGTGAGCAGTTTTGCTTATACTTGGACTGCTTGACTAGTCCTTTCACAAGCTGTTGTGATGGTTTTCTCCTTTCATCCTTCTTTCTAGGTCTTCTCTTTCTAAATTCCAGTTGTTAGACAATAGGTGGGACATGCACAGCCACTCAAGGAGTCTTCAGAATGGAAACTGCCTGTCTCAGGAGGAGCTTGTTAAAGTTGTGGATGTAGAAGAGCAACAACTGGAAAAGTCTGAGACACGTGGTTTAATGGAGCAGTCTTATTTGTCAAGGCAAGATCTAGGTAATGTTTCATCTGCTCTGATGGAAAAAACACTTATTTTACTCTGAATCCTGTGTAAAGATATTCTGATTAATCAAGCTTCAGATGTACAAGTCTATCATGGATGCACCCGTGATACTTAAGGACATTTTAAAGAAATAACTTGAGTGCTAATCCAAGTTTACTTGAAAATTATTGTAGCCATTAATTGTCCTTACTGGTTTAGCACATCTAACAGTTTTGAAGATGGGGAAGTCTTGGTGCACTTTAAATATTTCACTTCAACTGTTAGACAAAAGGACCCTCAAATTAAGTTTTAGACCTGTCCTTTATTGAAAAATGAGTCAAATCCCGAAAGCAAGTTCTTCTTTTATGAATTAATGCATATAGATGACTGTATATTTTATGCCTTATAAATCACTTTTCATGAATAGTGTGTTTTATGGCTTAGAAATCAAAATTTTAATCAGTAAAGAAAGTTTTAAATTAATCTTCAAAAACACATTATCATAAAAGCTGCTATTTAACATCTAAATGCGGTATTTGGCCACGTTGACTAGGGACATTTTAGGAACCTCATACATTCAACTTAGCTGTGCTTACTTCCTGATGGAGTGACATTTTCTGAAATGTTTCAGGAATGGTCTCTGCTATTTTTGATTTGGTAATTTATCTGTTGATTTATTAAGTGAAAAAGGTAATGGTATCATCATGGACAAAGAAACAAAAGTAGAGTATCTCATTTTTCAACTTTTTTGCTTTTTTATAAAAGTGGTATATGTTTATTGCCAAAATATTGGCGAATATAGGTAATAAAAAATAGGAATATTTCATTATCTATATTCCTATCACTTAGTGATAAAATATTGCTTTTTTTAGTCATTTTACTTAAAATTTTATTTTTAAAATATAGAATCATGATAAATAATATTTTGAAGCCATTTTCTTTAATATATTATGGACATTTTTCCATTTTATTGTAAATCAGCATTTATGTTCAAACTCTAATGAATGAAGAGTATTCTGTTGGAATGACGTTCCATAATTTATTTATTCTCCATTATTGGATGTTTAGATTGTTTCTAAAGTTTTCCTACTATAAACAGCATTGTAGAAAACGTTCCTATGACTAAACCTTTGTGTACATCTTCCATTTTTTTAGGATGCATTTCTGGAACTAAAATTTTTGATTGAAAGTGTATATACGTGTTAAGGTTTTTGCTACATAACGCCAAATTCTCCTTTAGAAAAGTTAAGCCACTTTGCATTACCATAAACAGTGTATTAATGTAGCCATTTTTCTCTTAATCTAACTTGATGTGTTGTTTTAATTTTTAGCAGAGATAGGAAAGCTGTAATCAAGATTCATTGTTATATAGATTAAACTTCTTCCTTCATTCCTTTCAGAGGCAACCCCTTGCCTAGAATCTGGAGTCAGCCTCTTCTCTGATGACCCTGAATCTGATCCCTCTGAAGACAGAGCCCCAGACCCAGCTCATGTTTGCAGCATGCCAACTTCCTCCTCTGGTTTGAAGTTACCCCAATTTCAAGCTGCAGAATCTGCCAACAGTTCAACTGATGCTCATACTAGTACTATTGCTGGGTACATTGTGAGGGAAGAAAGTGGGAGCAGGGAGAAGCCAGGAGTGATATCTTCAACAGAAAGGGTCAACAAAAGAGTTTCCATGGTGGCATCAGGCTTGACTCAAAAAGAATTTGTGAGTATATCTATATGTATCTCCCTGATGACTGAGACTTTATTACATACTGCAAATAGTTTTAAATAGGTACTAGCAATGAATAACCTGTAGGAAAAAATCTAGGAAACAAGCACAATTCTAGGTAATTTAGTTTCTATTACTAATTTCTGAAGTTTTGGACCTAGATAAAGCATATTATAACATGGATTATTTTGTATACATTTATTTGAGAAAATAATTATTAGCTATTAGCAGAAAAGTTATAATTTTGAGTATGACATAGAGCTTTTTAATCTGAATTTTCTTTGTACCTAAAAAAACAAGTAGGTGTAACACTACTCCCCAGAAAGCAACTCTCCCCCCACCCCATCCCCCGCCTTGGTTCACATCTCATTAACTAAATCCAGTCTGGTTCCGGCATGCTGCCAGACAGTGGCATTTCTCCAGTATTTATTAGTCTTCATTCCTGGCTTGTAACACAGTTATTCAATGGCCTGCCCTATCGTTTCTTCCCTACAACACCCTTTGCTGTTAGAATTTTGGCATCTCCTTGGGCCCCTCATGCCAGAAATGGGAATTGTTTCACATGGTAGAAAAATACCCATTGAAATATTAAGACCACTGAAACCTTGTTCAGACATCCTGGAACATTTACCTCCTCTGTGATTAAGCAGCATTGGCATCACTTCATAATAAAGTAATTAAGTGAATATCTCTTTAAAACCATGGTAAGATAACACACCAAAGTATCAAATGAATTTCTCTACTGGGTGATACTTATTGCACACTGAGAAACAACACTGAGTCATCCTTAACTGTTTTCCTTAATGTGTCCTTCCTAGAATAAGAACCATTTTTCATTGTAACTTCTCCATAGTTAGTGACTCAGCATACCATTCTCTACGTGGACAGATGCGTCACACTACTAAAAGGGCAAAGTAAATGGTTTTGCCCCGGTTGTTACAATGAATAAGTGCAAGATGATGGCTTCTAAAATTTTTTATCTCCCAACCATGTGCCAGGACAGCTATTTGCTCTGAAAATTCAGACCTCAGACCTGTGTCTGTTTATATTGCTCTTGATTACTTGTCCACACATCTAGAATTCCCATTTGTTGATTGAAAATTAGCATTCCTATTCCTTTGTTTTGAGAGTTCAGCTTTTCAGAGATGGCTAAAATTGTCTAATCTTTCTTACCGTAGGCAATTCTGAGCTGCAGATTAGACTATAAGTGGCTTGGGTGCCTGTTATCTTTAAACAAGCAACCAGAAAAACTTTTGAGCTCTATTCAGACTTGCTGAAGTGTAGTAAATTTATGATGAAAGCTGCTGACTATATTACACATGATTGATTCTGAAGCCCATATTAAGATGATCTTTTCAGCAGTTGCTGCTCTTCTAACCGAACACTGTTTCAAGGCTGGGATTTCAGCAATTAATCAGTTCAGAATTGCTAATGATCCTGGCAGAGGGCAGTGGTAAAAGGGGGAGGATGTCATTAGCTTCTCTAGCCTGCCTTATTCAGTGCCCTATGGCAGTATGGAGTGAGGCAGCATGAAAGAAAGATGGCCTGACCTCTGTTGCAATATTGTGCAGCACATAAATACTGGCGTGGATGGCGATGGCTAGTAAATGATGACCCTTGGTAAACAAAGTTATTTACCACACAGTAGCTACCAATTATGTCAACTGCGCCCATAATGGATCTGGTTAATTTTTTTTTTTTTACTGCCTATTGATTTTTATTTGGTTGACAGATAATGGCTAGAAGGTTCCAGATTTCTTCTGAGAAAATATGAGCCCCTTCCAGTCCTTCTCCTTAAGATGGAATTGATAGTTTTTACACTGACCTTTAAAAGCGTCTTGACTTGAATGTTTTAGAACTATCAGAGGGTTAGGCCTTGTTTTTAAGCCACATATATCTGTAACATAACTTTCTATACTGGCTAGTTGCTTCTCAGCTTATAAAATGTAGACTGATAAATCTAAATTATGGTATAGTGGATTGTCACTATGCAAAAAAAAGTGTCTTAGAGAATCAGATGATATCTGCTTTTAAAGGCAAAATTAATACTGTTTTGCATCTTAGTTGTAATTCCGTGTCTGCTAGCATGAACTATTTTAGTATTTCTTCCTCTGATTTGTACATAATTTTTATTGAGTTACTATTTATTTTGAGACTTCAACCATGTTAGAATAAAAATGATGTACCTTTTCTGAGAAAAATAGAGACTCAAAGCTAGAATAACTAATCCTCTAAACTGTTTACATGAAATAATTTATTACAATGCAATATTTATTTGATTTCAGATGCTTGTGCACAAGTTTGCCAGAAAACACCACTGCACCTTAACTAATCAAATTACTGAAGAGACTACTCATGTTATTATGAAAACAGGTATGCCAAGAACCTTAACAAAGTATGTTGGAACCTTAAAATATGTTGCATCTACTGTATGAAACTGCACGAAGAAATAGAAATATTTGATAAGCATCTTAGTTATCTAGTACTGCTATAACAGAAATACCACAAGTGGGTGGCTTTAACAAACAGAAATTAATTTTCTCACAGTTTAGGAGATAGAAGTCCAAATTTAGGGTGCCATCTCTAGGGAAGGATTTTTCTCTCTGTTGGCTCTGGAGGAAGGTCCTTGTCTCTTGGAGCTTCTTCTACTCCTGGGTGATCTTCATGTGGCTCTGCATCTCTCTTCCCCCATCTCTGCTTGCTTAATCTGCTCCTTTTATATCTTGTATGAGATTGGCTCAAGACACACCCTACACTAATCCTGACTCATTAACATAACAAAGACAACACTTTCCCAAATGAGATTTCAACCACAGGCGTTGTCGTTGGGTGCCCTTGAGTCGGTTCCGACGAATAGCAACCCTGTGTACAACAGAACGAAACACTGCCTGGTCCTGCGCCATCCTCACAGTTGTCACTATGTTTTAGCCCATTGTTGCAGCCACTGTCAATCCATCTTATTGAGGGTCTTACTCTTTTTCACTTTACCAAGCATGATATCGTTCTCCAGGGACTGGTCCCTCCTGATAACATGTCTAATGTATGTGAGATGAAGTCTCACCATCCTCGCTCCAAAGGAGCATTCTGGCTGCACTTCTTCCAAGACAGATTTGTTTGTTCTTCTGGAAGTCCATGGTGTATTCAGTATTCTTTGCCAACACCATAATTCAAAGGCATCAATTCTTTGGTCTTCCTTATTCATTGTCCAGCTTTCACTTGCATATGAGGCCATTAAAAACACCACAGCTTGGGTCAGGGGCACCGTAGTCCTCAAAGCAACATCTTTGCTTTTTAACATTTTAAAGAGGTCTTTTGCAGCATATTTGCTCAATGCAATACATCGTTTGATTTCTTGACTGCTGCTTCCTAGGCCATGATTGTGGATCCAAGTAGAATAAAATCCTTGACAACTTCATTATTTTCTCCATGTATCCTGATGTTGCTTATTATTTATCATGATGTTGCTTATTGGTTCAATTGCCTATTGGTCACAACCATAGACACAGAGGTTAGGATTTATAATACATATTTTGGGGGGACACAATTCAATCCATAACATTAAGCATAACATGAATGATAGTCTCCCAATAGTCGATCAATTATTACTTTATGACATATTATCAGGAGAGATCAGTTCCTGGAGAAGGACATCATTCTTGGTAAAGTAGAGGGTCAGCAAAGAAAAGGAAGACACTGAATGAGATGAATTGACACAGTGGCTGCAACAATGGGCTTAAGCATTACAACGATTGTGAGGATGGCACAGGACCGGGCAGTGTTTCATTCTGTTGTACATAGGGTTGCTATGAGTCAGAATCGGTTTGACAGCACCTAACACTTCCTGCGTCCCTTTTGTTTTGGATTTGGAAGGTGATAAGCCAGAAAGATAAACATTTTCTTCTGATTTACCCTAGTTGGACTATACTGGGTGAAAGGTTTTCTGGTGAGGTAGAGCCTGCATCCTGGAGGAACAAGAAAAGTGGAGCAAAGAGGAGAATGGGGCAAAAGGGGTCTTCACTCAAAATCTAGCTCCATGTGACACCTAGTTTGAATGTGGTTGAGAGTTTTTCAGGAAACAGGTCTGGGATTAGCTCTGAGATAGCCTAGCGCATAGAAAAGGAAGAAAAGGAGGATAATTCATTTGTCCTATACTTTCCCCTTTTAAATCTTAATTATGATTTGTGTGATAAAGGAGACTTTTGGGATTTTGGGTTGGCTGTAAGTTAAATCTGAGTAAACAATTTGGGGCTGCTAAAAAGCTCATTTGAAATTGGACCTCATCAGTACAAGTCTAATTCTGGAGCAAGTGAAGTAAAAACCCTGCCCCACTGTATTCTCTGCAGAGTAACTCTAAAGAATTGTTATCTGGAAGAGGAGTTAAACTCACTTATGCAGCTCCAGAAAGCAGAGCAAAGACCAGTGCATGGGTGGGGGGCAGGGAGCATGCAGATTGTAGCTCAGCTCTCAAAGCCTTTCTGACAAAATTAGTTCTCTGGAAATACAGTGGTCCACTCCAGGGTGTTTCTGTTCACACGGCTGCAGGTCCTTGAGCAGAGGGTCCAAACCCCTTGGCAAGGACACATTGCCTTAGAACCTTTAAGATCTTGGGTTTCTGTGTATGAAAATTTTACCACAGGGCCAGAGGGCAGTGCTCACTGGAAGCAGTTATCAGAACAAGGTACCACAAACTAAGTACTATTTTAGAGACGAATGTTATTAAAGTTTAATATATCTTAAGCTGTAGGTTCGGATCAAAGCTGATGGAAGGGGAAAAGAAAACTTCAAAATGCAAATTAAATCTAAAGTAGCTCAGTCTTTAAACTCAAAGAACATACAACAGTTGCTTGTTTGAAATAAAAATGAGCTGAAATTTCTGAGTTTAAAGCATATTATTAAGTCAACTTTTGCAGCAGTTAAACAAAAAGCTTTAAATATTAAAATGTGAAGAATTCTGTGAAGGAGAATGGTCGCTGCTACTACTGGCAGATGGCCTGCTGTGTTTAGGATTTAGTTAAATACATTTCTCCTGTTTAAAACTAAGTGTTCTTTCCCCAGTTTGCTTAGTTCTTCAAAGGGGCCTTTGAAACACCAGGAAATAAACAGAAATGATTCCTCAGCTACTGCTTTCTGAAATACTTATGCTTGTAGAAAAGAGAAGAGCTATGAAAATACTCTGTATTTTCCTGTCCCTCGCAGGGGAATGTTAGGGAATTAGGATTCCTCAGGTGGAAGTTCTAGGGGTGAAAATTTGTCACTTAAATTAACATTTTTGATTTAGGATTTCAACAGTACTTTGTCTTCTCCTTTCACATATTACCATCCAGTAAAAAAAGTTCTCTGTCTATCGTATCAGCACTACTGACATGGGTAATGCTTTGAATACGACGACAGAGATCTTTAGCTAGCCTTGGCATCTGGAAGATAGGGGAGACATTTCCTGTGATCTTCACTTTTTAAGATTCCAAAGATCCACACCTGCTGTTTATAACTAGGGGTGCTTCCAGCCTCTGATTCTGTCACCCAGAGGTATTGGAATCATCAATCCAAATTGATCTTGAGTAGCTTAAGAAGCTAGGGCTTCTTACAGCAGCACTTCCTGATTTTGTGTTCAACTTCTACTAATCTTTTGTATGTTTTTCATTCCGTAGATGCTGAGTTTGTGTGTGAACGGACACTGAAGTATTTTCTGGGAATTGCAGGAGGGAAATGGGTAGTTAGCTATTTCTGTAAGTTCAATATAATTTCTCTGCCTCCTCCCTTTAACACTTCAGAATTGCATCTTTACACCTTACATTTTAACACCGAAGGTTTTTGCTGCTGCTGAGTCTGAATTACTAAAAGGTCTTTAGTGGTAACACTAAACTGGCTTTATCTTTAATGCATATCGCTTTGTTCAGATAAGCTGAGGGTGTTGGGAAAATGGATTTCTTTTCAAAGCTAATAGGACCTAATCTGCTCCTAGCAATGTTAGATATGAACTAGGGATTTATATAATAGTGGACAGAAATCCATGTGCAGCAGGCATTTTTATAATGTTTAAATTAAACATCAACTGTGTTTCCAGAAAGAAATCTCTGCCACAGGCCTTATTAAGGAGCTTTGGCTTCATAGGGAGAGGACCTCTACTCAGGGCATTATTCCAATGCTCTTATGTGAATTATCGACCATCCATCTCCATGAAGAGAGCATGTTCTTCTGCTGTGTGTGACCTGTCTTTTCTGTGATCTCTTTAGGGGTGACCCAGTCTATTAAAGAAAGAAAGATGCTGGATGAGGTAGGTACTTGATACTACAAACTAGCCAGAGAGATGGTGCCACTGAGTCAGATAGTCAAGGAAAACTGATGGTACTTCCTTCCTTCCATCAATGCACCACTTTCTACAAACTTTCCTTGATGATGGGGATCATCAAAAGTTATACAGAGCAAACCAGGAAATTCTCTGTGCTCACTCTTTTGTTCTAGGTTTCTAAAGAAACAGTCCTTTACTGAGGGGGAGGAAAAGGTATTTATAAAGCAGAAAGAAGATTCATCAGGACCAGAATAGGCCCACCTTATTCTTAAATGCATACATCTTTGTGGAAAACTGGCTGTTCACTGTTGTTGAAAAATCCTTCATATTAATATGCAAATATATCTGTTTAGAAATCAGATTCCCTCAAAGAGATGTTACTCTTTATGATACTGAGAACAACAAGAGGTAAATAAGATAGAGAGTAGGAGGAAGAATAATTTTAGGAAAGAGCCATCTAGGAGCTGCTGATGGCAACAGATCCGGCAAAATAAAATTAGCGAGAGCAGTTTAAATTACTATGTACTATTTGGTATGTTCATAATTAATTAAATGACATTTCTGCTGGTTTCAACTTTCATTGACTATTTATTGGGAGCCTGCTATGTGACAGGCACTAGGGAAATGGCAGTAAAAAAGACTGACCAGGTCCTTGCTCTGGTGGGGATTCATGTTCTAGTGAGGGGAGATATACAATAAATAGAGTTGAATTTAAGATACCAATAAATGCTATGAAGAAATATACAGAATAACGGGCTATCAGTTGACTGGTGATAGAGGTTGGCTACTTTTGTTAAGTAGGCCAGAAAAGGCCTTTCTGAAGAGGTTGAACTGAGACCTAAATGATGAGAAAGAATCGGCCTTGAAAAATATTGAGAACAAGTGTTATAGGCAGAGGAACAGCAAGCATAAAGGTCTTGAGGTAGGAATGAACTTGGTTTATTAAAAATATATGTGTATATAGGCCATTGTAACTGGAGAGTAATAATTAGTGAAGTATGTGTAGAGGGTGGAGGTTAGACAAGGTCATAGGCAAGGGCCAGGTCAGTTAGGCCTGGTAACCCGTGGTAAGGAATTGGGATTTTATTCTTAGTGTAATTGGAGGCATGAAGATGGTAGAAGAGGTTGGCTTGGGGATGTGTTTGGAGATAGGACTTGCTAATGGATTACATTTTGAGGATGAGGTTAAAGAGGGAATGAAGGATGACTTTTAGGGTTTTGGCCTCAGCATCAGGATAGATGTTAGTAATTTTAAATTACATAAGAAAGACATGGGAGAGGAGCAGGGAGCATGCTGGAATGGGGGTAAGGCAGGAATGGAATCAAGAGCTCTGTTTTAGACACGTTAATTTTGAGATTTATACTAGACAGCCAGATGGAGAGGTTAAGTAGACAATTGGACACATTGTATGAAGCTCCACGGTGTAATCAGGACTATAAATTTGAGGGTTATGTTCAAATAGAGGATAAATTTTTCACTAGACTCTTCTCATTCAAGACACTAAGGAAATGTTAAGTGTTCTTTCACCTAATAACATCCTGTAGTTATACTCATGCCTTTGTTTTTCTTTGTGATGCTCTTCGTGATCTCCCCTACAGTTGAGTTTCAGTCAGATTTCTCCCCAAAACTCTAACCTCCCCTATCCCATGATTCTTTTTTCCCTTGCCTTTGACCATAATTAGTGATTTTGAAAAACCTATAAGTTTCTTCAGTGTATTAAATGTATATTTTGTTATTTTGGTTTCATTTACTGTGTAAGTCTCTCAACTGAAATCTGAGAAGCCCTTATTTCTTTAGATATAATATACAGTTGATTTAAGAGATTGAGAATTCTCCAGTTATCATCATAACAGCACTGTATTAGCAGTTTAATCTAAATGCTAAGTGAATGTTTTGAGAGGAGATCAATGTTGAAAATTAAAATACATTAAGTCCCAGTGAGGTGAAAAGCAAACGGTTAATTTCTGCCCATAAAGATTTGCTTCAGTGAATTGATTTCAGCAGCTGAGATGCTGGTCATTTCATCCAGTCTGCCATAAAGAGTTATTTATTTATTTTTGGGTCAAAACTCTGCCTAATACCTCATGGGACTGAGTTACTGGGCTTGAAGCCTGGGGAGCATAGTCTCAGGGGACATCTAGGTCAGCTGGCATAACATAGTTTAGTAAGACAATGTTCTACATCCTACTTTAATGCGTAGTGTCTGGGGTCTTAAAAGCTTGAGAGCAGCCATCTAAGATACAACTATTGGTCTCTTTCCATCCGGAGCAAAGGAGAGCGAAGAAAACCAAAGACTCAAGGAAGCAATTAATCCAGAGGACTAATGGACCACAGGAACCACAGCCTCCACTAGCCTGAGACCAGAAGAACTAGATGGTGCCTGGCTACTATTACTAACCATTCTGCCTAGGATCACAATATAATGTCCCAGTTAGAGTAGGGGGAAAAATGTAGAACAAAACTCAAATTCATAAAAAAAAAGACCAGATTAACTGTCTAATAAAGACTGGAGGAACCCCTGAGACTTTGGCCCTATGACACCTTTCTAACTTGGAACGGAAAACACTTCAGGAGATCACCTTTCACCCAAATAATGGAGAGGCTTATAAAATAAACAATAACACCAAGGAGTAAGGTGTTTCTTAGAACAATCATCTATATGAGACCAAAAACGCAACATCTATCCAAAAGCAAAGATGAGAGGACAGGAAGGGGCAGGAAAACCGGACGAATGGAAACAGAGAACTCAGGGTAGTAATGGGAAGAGTTCTGATACATTACGGGGACTGCAGCCAATGTCAGAGAACAATTTGTATGTAAACTGTTGAATGGGAAAGTAGTTTGCTCTGTAAGCCTTCACCTAAGGCACGCAATTTAAAAAAAAAAACCTCTGCCTAGTGATACTGAACTCTTAAATACGACATGTCTGTACCAGTCCATTGAAGGAGGCTTTTTCTCTGACTCCTGTGGTTTGGGGTTTGATTTCTTTCAGTATGATTTTGAAGTCAGAGGAGATGTTGTCAATGGAAGAAACCACCAAGGTCCAAAGCGAGCAAGGGAATTCCAGGACAGAAAGGTAAAGCCCTACCCCACACACACACACCCTCTGTGTTCTAGCCCCCTCCATAGAGATGGTCTAATTCATCTTGTAAGGCTGGTTATCTACTCATTGCTAGGGCACTAGCTGGGTGCTTTCACATAGGTTCTTTTTTTGTTCTCCTAGCCCAACAAGATAAATAAGTATTATCTCCATTTTATGAATGAAGGAACTGAAAGTTATAGAGAGGCTGTATGATTTGGAGTTCAGTCTGGGATTCGAATCTCAGCCAGTAAGTGACAGAGCTGAAGTTTGAATCTAAAGCCTTGCTCTTTCCATTTCACCATGGTGTCTTGCTCTGAAATACTGTGCTAAGTTCACAGTGCTGTCTATGGAAGCATAGAAGATAAGATGATTAATAATTAATAATAGCCAACATTTATACAATGTTTGCTATTTGCCAGGGGCTGCTCTAAACACTCAACCCTATTTTAATAATTAACAATTTTACACCAATCTTGTGAAGTGGGTACTATTATTATGTGTATTTTACAGATAAGGAGATGGAGGCTCAGAGAGGTTGAGTAAGTTGCTCAAGGTCACACAGCTAATGAGTGATGGAACTAGAAGTTGAACCCAGGCAGTCTGGCTCCAGAGTCTGAGCTCTTAACGACAACGCCACAGTTTTTTGGAAAGTTATTGAAGGCTCCACAGAGGAAAACAATAGCAGATTATTCTTACAACTTTGCAAATGATGGGCTAGAGGCCCTGGAAGACTCAGTGACTTTCCCCAGATCATACTGCAGCAGATGATGTAGGCAGACAGTGTCCTCCCAGGGAGACATCCAGGCAAGATTGCACACCTGGGCATTTCAGAACATCCCCATACGGGGCACCTTCTGCTCCTTTACAGAAACTTGAAACAAGTAGCGATGATTTTCTAAGGAAATCTGCTTTGAGAGATGATCACAAATTAAGCCCTGGAGCTCAGAACCCTCGAGATCAGCCCCCTTACCCTCTGAGCCTATCAGGTAACTGTCCCAGATGCCAAGCAAAGCTGCTGCCCCTATTTCTACTTCTGCCGCCACCCCAGGAGAGCTCCGTGTGAGCCAGCCACTGGATGCAGGGCAGAATTCGCGCCAGATTCCTCCCTCCTTCAAAGAAAAGTTCAGTGCTTTGCGTTTTTTCCTGCATTCAGGACAGCAGTGATGGAAAGTGCCTGGTCAAAGTAACGATGTTCTGAAGATACTAAATGTCACCATAGTATTTTCCTGTGGAAGAGAAACGTGTTGGTAGAGGTGAAACTTCACATTTCTTGTCTCATAACTAGACATCCTCATCAGTTAGTGTCAGCCTGGATGTAAAAATCCCTAATCTTTTGTACTTTTCACAGCAGCATTTGGCTCCAGCTAGCTGCCTGGGGAGAACTTCTAGCCTTATGAGCATCTAGGTCCTATCGACAGTTTGGGGTGCAGTTTATTCACCCAGATAGAATGGCACAGATGGAGTCTGTCCCTTAAAGCAGAAGCAGCCTTGTCCTGCTGTCCTTTCTGATTCTTCTGGCTATAGTTGAAATGTATGTGTGTAAGTGGAGAGGGGTCGTTTGCTAAAAAGCCATCCATATGTTTTTAGCTTTCTGATCTTTATTCTGGTCTCTCTTATTTGAGGCCTGAGGTTCTAGCCCTAGGCAATTTTCTTTTTAGTGGAATGAGGAGGAAGGAAGAGGGTCAAGAGAATAAGGGTTACACAAAATGATATATGAAAAGATGTGTTGTATAAACCCACACAAATGACTCAAATTTGGGTTTCTTTTAAATGATGTCTAACTTTTTTCCTAAGAACCTATGCCAATGTATGTGCAGGAATTTGCACTGTACAGCATGGTAGCCACCAGCCACGTGGGGCTGTTTAACTTTTAATTTTAAATAATTTAAGATAAAATAAAATAAATACAGTTCCTCAGTCACCCTAACCACATTTCAAGTTCAGTAGGCACATGTGACTCATGGCTACTATATTAGCACACATATTTTCATCACCATAGAAAGTTCTTTTGGGCAGTGCTGTTGAGCACTATAAATGGAAGAGGCCCCTAGGAGGTGCAGTGTGATCTGTGTCTTCTGAAAACCAGGCAGTCAGACCAGCTCAATGAGGATGAGGAAGAACCAGGCTTCACTTCTAGTTTTAAAAACTGTTCGGGTCACCTGATGGAATGATGACCATTCTTGGAGCAGTGTGAAGGAAGGAACAGATGTTGGGGGTCAGAAGATAGTCAGAGGACAAAAGGAGCATATATGCATAAAATAAGCATAGACCTCTCTGCTGATTGGGGTCATGTTAATATTGATGTACCAAATCTGGATAAACATCACACTTCAGTCAATTGCTTTCACTTTCTTGCCATCCAAGCCTTTTATTAAACATGAAGACCAAGTTTCCTTCCCTTGTCATCTCTAACAAGAAGTGAAATCACCTGCATGGGTCATCAGGAAGGAACCTGGGCCTGATTAATGACAAGATGAGATGCTCAGCTCTTGAATAACTGTATAGTGTAGACCGACTACATACACCTTCAAAAGTGTCTTCTGAAGTCCCTCAGTGTTCTGGACATTGGACTGATTGATTGTCTCTAGGAAGTAGCAGCAAAAATCGTCAGGTGGTTAAGAAAAAAAAAGTTCTTTTCTGAGAGCCTCTGTATATTGTTTTTTTAAAACCCCATTCTCTTTTATAACTAGTATTTCTTTCTCTCCATCTCTCCTTCTGTCTTCCTTTCCTCTCTTCTCCCAGATCTTCAGGGGCCTAGAAATCTGTTGCTATGGGCCCTTTACCAACATGCCTACAGGTAAGAAACTGGGAGAACTGCAGAAACCCAGCACTAGCTTTTCCCTTACATAGAAGAGTGTTGTAGAAGAGAGCACCTTGCCTTGGTTTTGGTCTTATGAGGGACCCTCAGATTGGTGAGATGCTTTAGACGTTATTCTGTTTCTCTACCACCCTCCAGGCAAAACTGTACCTAAATTTTATCCTATGGCAAAAAGCTAGACTTTGCACCCTTTCTCAAAAAACAAGTAGACCAGCAGCAAATAGTTAGGATTTAGGACACGATGTATTCTTTGTTCAGATAGGGTAAAATACTGTTACTGCCCATTTGTTCTGAGAAAAGGGAACTAATAAATTAGAGAGAAGATACCTTTGGTCTTGTAAGTATCAAGAAAGAGCTCTGCTCTTCCTGAACCATCTTCATTTGATACAGAGAAGAAAGCAGAGCTGCTGCATAAGCCCTTTGGGCCTGGGGCCCCACACAGGCCCAGAGTAGGGCAAGACTCTTGATGAACATTTTCTAATTAAATTTGACACTGAATGTAATGTTATGTTTTGGAATGCTGTGGGGCTCAGCTCTGGAGTTGTGCAGCACTGAGGCCCTGGTATACGTATAGATTTGGTTTGTTCTTTTCAAATAAAGGCTACCCACCTTTGCCTCCTTGCCCTCACTTCTGCCCCAGGGACACAGGTCCTCTTACTCCTCCTCAGAAGACCTTAGCACTCTGGTCAGGGACAGATGAGAGGCAGCAGGAGAGCCTGGCAAAGTAATTTTGCTTCTGTCTTCTTTATTGGTTATTGATTGGATTTTTATGAAATTTCCAAGTGCCACTCAAGGACTCCTCAGTGTTCTCGTTCTTTGGTCTACTGAAAACCAGGGTCTCTAGCAGGTATCATTTTTAGGGAGTGTCAGCTGATGTCACTAGGACAAACAGGAGCACCTCAGCAATCCCCAGAAATGGGCTTATAGAAAACAGCAACATACATGAATGGCTTGACATGCATACCCAGAGGTGCCCAGAAGGCCCACTGGTCAGTTCTGCTGCTGTTCCAACTGCAAGTGGAACATCTCTGCACTCTTTTCTCACTTCTGTTCCCCTGAGCCAAGCATGCTGGTTCCAGCTCAGCATGTAGCCTTTCCCCACCAATGTGTTGAATCTCTGTCCAGGATGACGTTTATTTTTTTGATTGGATGAATTATCTCTCTGTCTCTTGACATTTATAGTAATTACCAGCAAGTATAATGCTCTCAGTGGCTGTGATTATCAATTAACCAACACAGAGTTAGGAGGAAGAGGGTGCTTTTTCTCCCGCAGTGTCTTAGCCAGCAATTTAGCAAATTAATGAAAATCAGATCTTGAATTTTTTTTTTTTTTTTCTTTCAAAGTGTTTCATTGGAGAGATTATCAAATCTGATCTACCAGCAGGCCTTACTGGGGACTGATAACCAGAGCAGGTAGCATTTCAGTGGAAAATTGACTTAGAATCCATATGGCTAGTGTCTTAGTTGTTTAGTGCTGCTATAACAGAAATACCACAAGTGGGTGGCTTTAACAACCAAACTTGTTTTCTTACAGTTTAGGAGGCTAGAAGTCCAAATTCAGGATGCCAGCTCCAGGGGAAAGCTTTCTTTCTCTGTCTACTCTGGAGAAAGTTCCTTGTCTCCTGGAGTTTCTGCTCCTGACGCTCTTTATGTGGCTTAGCATCTCTCTTCCCCCATCTCTGTTTCCTAGCTTGCTTGTTTAATCTCTTTTATATCTCAAAAGAGATTGACTCAAGGCATACTCTACACTAATCCTGCCTCATTAACATAACACAGACAACTCATTCCCAAATGGGATTATAACCACAAGTATAGAGATTAGGGTTTACAACACATATTTTGGAGGGACACAACTCAATCTATAACATTCCACACTTTGGCCCCCCAAAATTCATCCTTGCCACATGTAAAACACATTCGCCCAGTCACATCATCCCAAAAGTCTTAAATCTACTCCAAGTCCAAAATCTCCTCTTCTGAATCATCTAAATCAAATATGGGTGAGAGTTTAGGTGTATTCCATCCTGGGGCAAGATTCCTCTTCATCTGTGAACCTGGGAAATCTAGAATACAAGTTATCTATTTCCAGAGTACAATGGTGGAACAGGCACAAGGTGGACATTTTCATTACAAATAGTAGAAATTGAAGAGAAAGAAGGGATAACAGGCACCAAGCAAGTCCAAAACCCAGCAGAACAATTTACATTAGTTCTCAAGGTTTGAAAATAATCCTGTTTTTTAGGACCATCTGGGCAAGGGCCCCGCCCTCCAGACTCTGGGTGTTGGTCATGTTCTCTGGATTCTGCGCAGAGGCTCCTCAGCCCTGGGCATCAGCTCCACCCCTCAGGCCCTCTGGGGTGGCAACTCTGCGTCCTCGGCTTTCGGTGGCCCCATTCTCCTAATCCATCTGAGTGGTGACCCTGCCCCAGCAGGCCCCATTCTTCTGCTTCTTGGGCATGGCAGCCCCGCCTCCTAACCTTTGGGCAGAGATCCCATCCTCTTGGCACACTGTAATGGCAGCCTCACACTCCAGAACTCAGTTGGCGACGATCCAACTCTTTGAAACCTGAAGGCCATGACTCCACCCTTTGAAACTGATGCAGCCCTGCTTCCCATGCTTCTTCCAACAGTTCTGCTGATCTCCAAGCTGCTCTGGGGATGGTCCTTTTCTTTTCTTGGTGGACAACAGATGTAGCCCCTTTGGCCTGTTTCCTGCCTGTAGAATTCCAAGAGACAGTTTTCTGTCCTTTCACCCTGTTTCTGTCTCCTTCAGTCTAAGCTGATGGGTTTTCTGCTTGGTAATTGGTTAGATTAAGTCACAGGCTTAATCTCTTTAACAAAAGATTATGTAGCCATGTCCTTGGTGAACATTCTAGGACACATGTCCTTAGTTTGTACAAGAGAATTTTCCAAATCTTTTAAGTTTTGTTTTCATTTTGCACAGTTCATTTTTAAGTCCATCTCTTCCCTCTCGCATTTTACTATCAGCAGCAAGGAGAAACCACACAGCCCCTTTAAGATCTTACTTAGAAACCTCCTCAACCAGATAACCAAGTTCATCACTTACAAGTTCTACCTTCCACCAAAGATTTGAACATAATTCAGACAAGTTCTTTGCCACTGCATAAAAAGCATCGCCCTTCCTCCATTGTCCAGTCACATGTTCATCATTTTCTTTTAAAGCCTCACGAGAAGCACATTTAACATTCACATTTCTAGCAACATTCTGTTCCTGGCACCATATGTATTCTCTAAGACAACAGACTTTCTCTATGGCTCTCCTCACTTCCTTCTGAGCCCTCACCAGAATTGCTTTTGACTTCCATAATTCTACCAACAGTCTCTTTGAGGCAATCTAGGCTTTTACTATTAGGCACCTTAAAACTCTTCCAGCCTCCACCCATTACCCAATTCCAAAACCACTTCCACATTGTAGGTATTTGTTAGAGTAGCACCCCCAGTTTTCAGTACCAAATTCTGTCTTAGTTATGTAGTGCTGCTATAACAGGAATACCACAAGTAGATGGCTTTAACAAACAAATTTGTTTTCTCACAGTTTAGGAGGCTAGAAGTCCAAATTCAGGGCACCAGCTCCAGGGGAATGCTTTTTCTGTCTGTCAGCTCTAGAGGAAGGTCCTTGTCTCTTCAGGTTGTTCCCTGGTTCCTTGGAGATATCCATGCATCTTAGCATTTCTTGTCTGCCATCTGTGCTCACTTGCTTGCCTGTTTAATCTCTTTTATATCTCAAAAGAGATTGACTCAAGACACACCCTATACTAATCCTGTCTTATTAACATAACAAAGATAGCCCATTCCCAAATGGGATTATAACCACAGGCTAGAGGTTAGGATTTACAACACATATTTTTGGGGGATACAATTCAATCCATAACACCTAGTATGGGTTCTAGTTTAAGGCCCTTCTGTCTCTTTGGAGCAGAAGAAGTGGAGACTCTGCCACTGAGAAGTCTTGCTGTAAGCCTTCATCCAGAGGAGTATGGAGTAGAGGTCCTAGGTTAAGTATGTAGATTACTGTGGTAATTATAGGTCTCAATGTCCTGTTTAGATCAACTGGAATGGATGGTGCAGCTGTGTGGGGCTTCTGTTGTGAAGGAGCCTTTATCATTCACCCTTGGCGTGGTAAGTGTTTGGTGCCCTGTCAAAAGGGAAGGACACAATATTCTCTCCTGTGATTGAATAGGGCTGGCACCCATCAGTCCCTGTGGATCTCCCTAATGTAGCCTCAGAAGCCTCCCTTCACCCTAAGCCTCTCCAACCATGTACCTACCTAGGCCAGAGTCACTCTATCTGTAAGGGATGACTAAGGAATTGGGAGCTACAAGTGTTTCATCTATCAAGGGAAGCCTCTTTCCCCCTCTCCCTCCCCCTCCTTGTGTGGCTGCCCCCAGAGTAGTCTACCTCAACAAAGCATCAAGAAATGGTGAAGTGACTATTCCAACAGTCCTCCTCTACCACCCTCAATTGTGTTTCTTTGGGGATGCAGGATACTCACCCAATTGTGGTTGTGCAGCCAGATGCCTGGAAGGAGGACAGTGGCTTTCATGGTAAGGTGCCTGCATGCACATGTCATACCAGGTCCTGTTGGATTGGTGTAGTTTACCACAGGTTCCCCAGTGCTTGATGAGCACAGTTCTAGAACATTCTAGGTGTTCAAAAAATATTTGTTGAATGAATGAGTGAGTGAATGAATGAATGACTAAAATATCTTTTCTAAACTTTTTGTTATTGTTTGTTTTGTATTATAAAAGTAATGCATGAGATATTTCCATTGGGGCAAGGGAGGTTAAATGTGAATGTTTATCACAGAAAATGTATATTAGCATAAAAATGATAAAAGAATCCCAGTAATCCCACGGCTTGGAGATGAATCACCATAAAATCTTTCCAAGCACATGTGCATGTGTAGATGTGTATATGTACACACACATGTATTTTACACAGATGGGATCATGCTCGTTATACTGTTTTGCTTTTTCACTTAAGATATTGCCGGCATTTTTCCACATCATTAAATTGCAGTGCTGTTTTGCTCTCTCTGGTGGTTTTGCCTTTAACAGATTGAAGCTCATATTAATAAAGTTGCCAGAGGCTTCGAGGCTTTCACCAGCAGCCACTTCTCAGGCTTCTAACTGATGTCCTGTGTCCTGAAGCATTGCTTAAGATCAACAGTTCTGCTGTGACCTGATTAACCCTAAGAACCCACACAATCCAGTCCCTGGAGTAGACTGATGAGTCTGAGCCTGGTCTGGGAGAATATGAATTGACACTAATCTCTGCTTGTGTTCTCTGTCCCCAGGGATTGGGCAGCTGTGTGAAGCACCTGTTGTGACCCGAGAGTGGGTATTGGACAGTGTAGCCCTCTACCAACGCCAGGAGCTGGACACCTACCTGATACCCCAGATCCCCCATAGCCACTACTGATCCCAGCCAGCCCCATGTATAAGGCCTGTCTCCACAGGACCCCAAGAAAGAGCTGAAGGGATGGCCTTTCCAGGCCCTAGGAGCTCCTCTCACCACCCTAGTACTTCCACAGTCCCAGTTACTAAATATTTTATGTACGTCAGAGAATTTCTGGCTGTGTGAGGGTCCCTTAAAGACTTTCTGCTTCAAGTCTCCCTTTGAAATCTGCCATGAGCACAAAATTGTGGTGATTTTTCACCTGAAAAGATTTAAAACCATTTAAACCCCACCAATTAAGCAAGATGGCTGATTCATTATTTATCAGCCCTATTCCTAGTACTAGGGCTGTTAGGAAACATAGTTGGCTTAGGGTTTGGAGGCACAAAGTGGCTGGGCTTCTAGAGAATATAACTGATTTCTTAGTTTGTTTCTCTAAAACCCCCAGTGTGTAGAGGCGAAGAGTCAGACCTTCAATGGAAGGAGAATACTTGGGAATTTGTGACATGATTTAAAATCAGAATAGTCCGCAGACAGCTCTCCAGTGTTGGAGTGAAACATTGAGGACGGAATTTAGAGGCAGACAGTGGGTATGAATATGAACGTGAGGGTTAATTATAGGGTCAGGGAGTCATGCTGATCCTGGTCTCCTCCAAAAGTCTGGGTAATAGTTGCTGGATTTCTAAAGAATCTGTTAGTCATGATGTGCTCTGAAGCAGCAGAATCCTTTCAGAAACCTATGTCCAAAGATAGTCTTCTAATTCCCTATTAGTAATAAATAAAATGTTGTTGTAGCTCTGATATGTAACCATTCTTTTTAAAAACATAAGATCTCTGATATGAGTATTTCATGTCTATAAAATGATGGATCCCACCAAGGAAAGCTTTTGCTTTCCTTGAGGTAATTTTCTTTCCCTTTGCTCCCTATTGCTGAACCATACAGCTTCATAAATAATTTTGCTTGCTGAAGGAAGAGAAAATGTTTTTCATAAATTCATTATCCAGGACCATTTATAGCTGTTGGAAGGAGTAGGTCTTCCCTAGCCCCCCAGGGTGTGAGGGCAGTGCAGACTTGATTGTACAAAATATATTTTGTAAATGTTTGTTCACCTGCAAATAAACTTGGTAGCAAACACCTCCACCGAGCATCACTGTTCTTGCAACTTATACCTGCAGACCTTCTCAGAGTCTTTTCACTGTGCTTTGTCTCCTCATCTGTAAAATGGGGATACTAATAATGTCTACCTCCTAGGGTGATTGAGGCAGCTTAAGCATCTATCATATTAGGTTTCTGCTGCTACCATAACAGATTGTCACACATTGAGTGGCTTAGACAACACCCATTTATTATCTCACAGTTCTGTATCAGAAGTCCAAGTTGGCTCAGCTGGTTTCTTTGTTCAGTGTTTCTCGGCAGGCCTGCGTTTCTTTCTAGAGGTTCTGGGGATGAATTTGCTTCCAACCTCATTGAGGTTATTGGCCGAATTCAGTTCCTTGCAGATGTAGGACTGAGATTCCCATTTCCTTGCTGGCTGTCAGCCAGGGGTCATTCTCTGCTTCTAGAGGCCACCCATATTTCTTGACTCACAGCCACCCTACCTTCATCTTCAAAGCCAACAATGGCAGGTCAAGTCTTTCTTACAGTTTGAGTGTCTCCGACCTCCCCTTCTGCCTCGTCTCTCTGACTATTGCATCTCTTAATTCCCACCAGAGAAATTTCTCTGCTTTTCAGGGCTCTGTGACTAGATTGGGCCCACTGAATAATCCAGAGTAATCTCCCCATCTCAAGGTTCATAACCTTGATTACAGCTGCAAAAGCCCTGCACAGCAGTACCTAGATTAGTGTTTGAATAACCCAGGGGACAGGATTCTAGAGAGGAGATCTTTAGAATTCTGCCTATGCCTCCTATTTAACATGCTTAATCCACAGATAACACTCTGTATCATCATTTCCTGGTCCTCACACTGTCCTGAGATTGGAATCCTCTTTGAGGCAAAGAGAACGAAATCGTCAACACAATTCAGTACTGCCATATTTGTAAGAGGGTGAGGGTGAAGGAAAAGTAGAGAAAATGGAGCTAACTGCCACCATTTGTTACATCTTTAACTCATTGACTTCGTCACAGCCCTATGAAGTGGATATTTATCACCTCATTTGAAAAAGAGGAACTGAGGATCAAATTCCTTATTTGTAAGATTTGGCTTAGGATTTGCACAGCTAATAAGTGACCACGCATCTCATCACTCAGCTTTCCACCTGTATCAGTAACTGACCCTTGGACAGAAGCACCAGTTCAAGCCTCAAGGGAATTTTGGGAGAGGAGTTGGTTACGAGGGGAACCAACACTTTGCTTCCCCTTTGTGGGCCATGGTGGAAGGCAGTAGAAGATTCTTCCTGCCTCCCAAGTGGCAGCTCTGCCTGGGAGAGCAGCCCGATGTCAGGCTAGAGGCATACAGGATTGGGTCATAGCTGTTTCAATTTCTACTCCCATCCAGCATCCCAGCTTATGACTGTGTATCTTATAGTTGTCAAAGCCTTCCAGTTCAGCCTCACCTACAGCATGTCCCTTTTAGAGCCCATGCCAGCTCCCCGGATACCTGCCAGGGAGACGACGGGTCTCAAAGTTAGCAGTAAAGGCAGGCAGAAAGCAAGCAGAAGTGCTACCAGATCCTGGGGGTGAGCCAGGCCTCAACCTGCTGTCCCTATCACTGATGGGTTAATAGAAAAAGCAACATCCACCTAGTATAGCCTGCCTTTGCAGGAGTCCTGGAAAGGAATTTTCTCTTAATGCCAGAGAAATTAAGAGGAAAAACCAGAGGTGACTAAAACACATTAGAAAGTTTTTTGTCATTGTCCCTCAAAGTCTTCAAACAAATACACACCCCATCTGTTTTGAGCTCTGCATAACCTTTCTTGGAAGTCAACTTCTAGCCCTGGTCTCACACTGCCTGGGCCGGTTTAACAGTTTTATCTGATGATGGAGTAAATCTACTTGCTCCCTTGACCTCTGGCTTTAAGATGTCCTCCCATTTTCCCACTCCACAATCCTTAGGCATCTCTGGGCACAGCGACAGTTGGGAACCAGTTCCTGTACTGACTTTATCTCCTTTCACAAAACAAACTTCTACAAAGGATCTGGAAAGCAAGGACAGGAAGGATTATCATCGTGCAGGCACAGGGAAGGGACCTAGAGAAGAGCTCCAGCAGATTCTCTCTCTCCTAAAAAATGCAACCAAAATCATCAACAAAGTACCAGCTCAAAAACACGCCAGAGAAAAAGAAAGGAATCAGTGTTGGGGTGTTTGGAGCGGAAGAAGCCAGGCTGCCCTCCTATGAAGGCTGTGAGGAGCAGATAAGGGCAGCTCCAGAGGCAGGCAGTGCAGAGAGGAGGGCAGGCTGAGGGGAACTGCACATCTGCCCAAAGAAACCAAGGGAGAATGGGGCCAAGGGAGAATGGGGCCGGCTAACTGGGACTGCAGGAGCTTGCTATCATCAGCTGTAAAATGGCTAAACCAGAGGCCTCCTTCACCGCACTTCAGTGAGGCTTAGCTCTACAAGCCCTCACACAGCCTGTAAATCTGCCCACGACAAGGAGAAAATTAAAGAAATGAATCTGGGCAAATAGAAATTTAAGGAGAACTGGAGACAGCCAGCTCCTGTGGAGAGCAGGGACTGGGGAGGTGTAGAGGAAGTTGATTCCAAAACAAGTCTGCATGATCAGAAAAATCTAAGGAGTGATTTGAGCGGCTGGAAGGAATCAAGAGAACTGGAGAGACTCATTCCCCACCTTATGGTAGCTGAGGAGCAAGAATTTTGGAGGCCTAGTTTCAGGGGCCTGGAATGAAAAAGCAGCTTAATACCTAGCTGAATACCATGGTTCTCAAAGCCTTGCCCTTTGCCAGAGGCAACAGCATAGCCTGGAAACTTGTTTGATATGCATATTCCTGGGCCTCACCTCAGATCTACTGAATCAGATATTCCTGGTATGAGGCCCTACAGTCTGTGATCAGAATGCACGCTCAAGTTTGTGAACCACTGGTTTAGTGTACCCACTGCCTTCAAGTCGATTCTGACTCACAGCGACCCTATAGGACAGAGAGGAACTGCCCCATTGGTTTTCCAAGGCTGTAAATCTTTACAGAAGCAGACTGCCACATCTCTCTTGCGTGGAGCAGCGGATGGGTTCAAACCCTTTGGTTGGCAGCTGGGTGCTTTACCCGCTGTGCCACCAGGGCTCCTTGGTTTAGTGTAAGGGGCTACTAATTGGTATAAATTGTTACCTATGGTCTATTCTTTTGTCTCCAGGGGAGGTGAATCTTGGGCCCATTAAGGAAAAATAAGATTTGTGGGCTTTAGGTAGATGGTTCTTATCTACCAGGTTGCAGCAGCTGGCTTTGGGGTTCACTCCAAAATGGTCCTTTAAGCAAATACAAAGCAAAGGACAAAGATTAAATTATATTAGCAACCTAGGAGCGGAAGGACCAGACTGCTTAAAAAACAGCTAGAGGTTTAAGAGGTTTTATTAATATTTAAATTGCAGTGAAACCACAGCTGCAGCCTTTGACTCCAGCATGGAGATATGCAAATGTGGCTTTCAAAAGAAAGGCAATTTCAGACAGCCCTCAAGGTAACAAGAACAAATAAAACAAATGATTTTGTAATTTATCTTTATTGACTGATGGTGCAAGGCACAGACAGCCCATTCTCAGTGAGCCAACAGCGGAGCTATGTGAGGGGAGAGGAGAAGCAATGGGAGGCAGGCAGTAGTACCCAAGGAAGACAAAACAGAAGGAGGCAGATGGGAGGAGAAGAAGACTGAATTAAAAGGGAAGGAGAATGAACACCCAGCCCTGGGTTCTGTGGATCATCTGATCTTGCCAGCTCTCAGGAGCAGCAACAATAATAATCATTACTGGCTGTCATTTAATGCCACACTCCTACCAAGTTCCACACAATATTCCACACATTCGAATGAGGAAAATGAAGTTTTAAGAGGTCAAGCAACTAGCCCAAGATCACACAACAAAAGGAAGTGGCACAGCCTCTGGGATTCAAACAATCTGTGTGAGGAAAATAAGCTAGATAACTGGGATCCTCTAGAAATTAAACACGCGCATCAAAAAACTTCACCAAAAAAAAAAAAGATCTGTGTGAGGCTAAAGCCCATGATCTTTCCAGTACATGTGCTGGGAACCAGTCCTGGGAGGTAGTGAATAACAATAAGGTTAATGATGGAGAGGTCATGATGTGCCCAGTTCTGTAGTACCCTGTGTGTGTGGGTATATGTGTGCGTGTAAGGGAGGGAAATAAGAATCACTTCTGGCCTTCAAATTGCTTACTATTCAGTGGGTGAGGCAAGAAAGCCACAGAAAATCCTTGCAGAATTGTGGTTCAGAAGGCCTTTAAGAAGCTGTGTGGTAGAGCCAGGCTCTGCCTACTATGGGAGACCTCTTGGGGAAGAATCTCAAGCTGGGCCTTGGGGCTTGGGTAGCATTTGGTGACAAGGAAGCCAGGAGTATCCAGAAGGCCCAGGCGAAAACGTCCAGATGCCAGAATTGAGGAAAGGGCGCTGGTCCAGAAAGAGGAGGAGAGGTGGGTGAGTCCTTTAAGGATACATTTCTCGGACCTCCTCTCAGTCATTCTCTCTAGACTTCCCATACCAATCCCAAACCCACTGCTCCCTTCAGGTTCCTTGGCCTCCAGATATGCAGACCCACAGATTTTGCTCCACTGTCTTCTATCCGGAAACCTGGTGGCATAGTGGTTAAGTGCTACAGCTGCTAACCAAAAGATTGGCAGTTCAAATCTACCAGGTGCTCTTTGGAAACTCAATGGGGCAGCTCTACTCTGTCCTATAGGGTTGCTATGAGTTGGAATCGACTCGACGGCAACGGGTTTGGTGGTTTTTTTTGTTTTTGTTTTTGTTGGTCTTCTGTCCTGCTCTGCCGTCTCCACAGGTCCAAATCCTGTCCATTCCTCCTCCTTCACAAGAGCCTTCCTAGGTCTTCCAGGCCAGAATCTCTCTCCCTCTTGGAACACCCCAG